GTCAGAACCTGCTGAATGCCACCTCTGGCCAAGACATCCATGAGGGAGAGTCAAAAAAGTCAAGATGGCAGCTATGGAAATATAGAGGCCCTTTTGCCCTTTTACATGTGTTGCTGTGTGAGCTGTGGTGGCGCAATGTTAGAATGCAGTACTGCAGACTAACTCACTGCTTACTCCAGTTCAATTCTGAACGGCTCAAGATTGAAGTCGGTAAAATAAGGACCCAGATTGTTGGGGGCAATATGCTGACTCTGTAAACCATTTAGAGAGGGCTGCAAAGCACTGTGAAGCGGTATATATGTCTAAGTGCTATTGCTATTGCATATAAAAAATAAAAGCAGGGTTTCAATCACGTGGTCATGTCTGGTATTAGATTTTTTGGGGGGGGGTCTTTATGTAGGCTTCTGGACATTAGTCCAACAACCAGTTCTCTAGAATAGAAGGTATTTAAGCCTAATCTATCAGAGACCCACTCAAGGCTTCAACACCAGCCAAGGAAAAATGTCTCCAGAAATAAAATTATGTTTATAAGGAACCCAGAGTTGGTTTCTCACTCATGAGGAGTTCTGCTTTTGGCTGTTTAAGAAGGGTCTACTTTGTTTTGCAGCAAACTCTATCTCCACCCTCTGACATCTGTGCTTCTTGGTTTCTATGTTAAAACAACTCTTCACAACACCTCACTACCCTCAAAGGATCAAGATTTCCTTGGTTTGCCTCAGGATTTCTTGGAGCAGGCATTTTATGACTGACTTGCAGCTCCTATCTCCAAAACGAAAGGATACAGAGCACAATTTATTTTCTTATCCATCAATGCTTAAATGCTTTATTCGTCCTAATGCTCCTCGTAGAGTCTGGTTCTTCTGTGGTCCGAAAACATTTTAAAATACCGGTGTATAGCGTACGCCTAATTAGGAAATGGCAAACTGGCTCATGGAGATTACAGGAGTTAGCTTTCAACTGAGACCAGAGGTATTAGGAATAAATCCTGGGGGTATAAGGAAAATAGACTGGTACCTTTTTATACATGTTACCACTGCGGCTAGAATTGCATATGCGCAATTTTGGAAAGGGAAAGAAGTACCATCGGACCAGATAATTATTAAAAAAAATTTGTGGTGTGCAGAATGTGATAGATTAACATATATTCTTAAAGACAGACAAGAATCAATTTTCAATCAAAGCTGGGATAAATGGTACAAATGGATAGAAGTAAAAATGCCATGAGGTAGATGTTAGGAAAGCATATAGCATAGATTTGTTGATACTAAGCTAAATATATATAAGGTAATACTAGATGTAAGAAGATGTGCAAGATGCAATGTGGAAAATTTAATCGAAGATGTAGTATGATAGTATATAATGTTACTTAGGAACTGTAAATATATGGGGGTTGAATCAACCCTAGTTGTATGTATGTGATTTTGTTTTGTTACCGTCTTCTTTTTGTTTTGTTTTTTGTCTTCAGTTTATAATAAAATTTTTTAAAAGGAAATGGCAAACTGATTTGGGAGTGTATTTAAGGTAAGAACAAAGAATAGGGTCTTTTCTGGCTCTTTGGAGGTCTAATGTGTTTACTAATCAGCAAGGCATGTTATGCCATTAACCAGATGCCATGCTGCAGGGGTATAAGCTGTTGGTTAGGCAAGAACTATAAATGAAACAAAACAAATAGAAGTATTGCCTCAGTGTGATGAAACACAGGGAGACAGGAAAATTAGTAAACAGTGTAGCCTTCTACATTTACAAAGAAAAAAAAAACCCGTGTGGTTTTGCTTTAGTCAAGCCATTAGTTTAGCATTTTCCATACACGTTTCAAATTTTTGAAGAGTGTTATCATTTTGAAGACTTTCCTGGGACATGTGTCTTATTTGACCTTAGATACACAATGTTTTTCTTTAAATCATTCTCTGTTTTTTTTTTTTAAAGGATATTTTTATGTCTTTTTACTAAACTATGAGTTTGCTACAGCTTAAAGGAGGCCAAAATACTATAAAAGGATATCATGGTAACATTTCATTTAGGTAAAAAACATCACCAACATATCAAAACAATAGTTAACAGGTCTGTCTTGACCACATAGGGGGATTTGAGGTTTGCACATAGCTAAAATTTCCCTTTTATGCTTTTTTCTAATCTTAAAACCTTGGCTGATCTCAAGTTTGGCTACAGGCCGCGAGTTTGACACCCCTGACCTAACAGAATTCTCCCACCCAGCCCCGCATCAGGCCATATTAAAGGAGTGATTCAGTGGTGGGTTGCTACCAGTTCGCCCCAGGTCAGGTGAACTGGTAGTGGCGGTGGCAGGAGGTTCCGCCCACCCACTTGGATGTCTCTGTGCATGCGCAGAAGCATTATGTGAGTGTGTGAGTGCACACACAAACTGGTAGCGACTGAAATTGAAATCCGTTATCGGAGTGATTGTTGGATTAGGATCTCGGTGGCATGGTGGGAAGACGCTTGCCTCTTATTCAGAAGGTTGAGAGTTCAATACTAGGTAGGGGCAGATGTTTCTCTCTCCTAGGGCGCAAAGAAAAAATATCTGCTGTGAACTCTGCATGGCATCAGGGAGGGCATCCAGCCAGTAAATGCTCAGCTCCATCCAGTTGCCCCAGCTCTATCCTGAATTAAGGGATTACAGGGTCATAAAAGGGAGTTTTTATTGTTAGATTAGGATCAGCTGGGAAATGCACTTTGACTTGACTCAATCAACCAACTGTTATGTTAGTACCAATCACCTGTCTCATTACCAAGGCAGAGTTATAGGGTCAGAACATATTATGCTGGTATAATTTCTACCACTGTGTGGAAAAAACATGTTAAACCAGCTATCTGGATGTGCCCTTTGATCATTTGAAGTTTATCTTCCTTATCACCTCTGGGTTTACTAATGTGATCATTTTAGCAATAGTGCTTTATCTTATATACCACTTCACAGTGCTTTACAGCCCTCTCTAAGCAGTTTACAGAGTCAGCAAAATATTGCACTCAACAATTGGGTCCTCATTTTACTCACCTCAGAAGGATGGAAGGTTGAGTCAACCTTGAACTGCTCAGAATCGAACTCCTGAAGTGAGCAGTGAGTTAGACCTGCAGTGCTGCCTTCTAACCACAGCGCCAGCACAGCTCCATCACTTTAGATGGTTTCTGTCACGTTTAGTGTTACTAACTTGCCCAAAGCTGTTTCTGTATATGAACATATGCTATTTCCTTGGAAATTATACATGTTTGATTCACTATTATTCTCTTCCAAATCAGACAATAAGTCTTCTATTACTACGTGAGGAACTCTGTCCTTCCGCCCATTAAAAAAGCCCATTCAGGGGTTTCTTTCATTAACATCTTGGTATCGTTCAGAATGCTGAATCATCAGTACCACCCAATTAGAAATAAATTGTCATGCATTGTGTGATTTTTGAGACACATTGTGCTAAATTACTCAACAGAGGAAATACTACACTCTTGTGGTTAATGATGAATTCAAGTTGAGTAACAGCTGCTGGGGAGAAAGATTAAAAGTGTTATTTCCCCATCGTGTACCCAAGGAGGCATCTGAATAGTGGAAGTTTATAGTATCAAAATATACATAGCACATTTTACTGCCTCTGTCTCATTCACTCTTTCCTTCCCTTGCTTGTTGGCTGGGTAGTGAAAGTTACGCGGTTTCCCTCACATAAATATAAAATAGGAATTTATCCATGAATAAGTTAGCAATAATCATACAAAAAAAAAAGTGTCGAGACTTTGGAAAAAAGTGCAGAGAAGAGCAACTAAGATGATTAAAGGCCTGGAGACTAAAACATATGAAGAACAGTTGCAGGAACTGGATATGGCTAGTCTAGAGAAAAGAAGGACTAGGCAGGACATGATAGCAGTAGTCCAGTATTTGAGGGGCTGCCACAAAGAAGAGGAGGTCAATATACTTTCCAAAGCACCAGAAGGCAAGACAAGAAACAATGGATGGAAACTAATCAAGGAGAGAAGCAACCTGGAATTAAGGAGAAACTTCCTAACAGTGAGGACATTAATCAGTGGAACAGCTTGCCTTCAGAAGTTGTGGATGCTTCAACACTGGAGGTTTTTTAAGAAGAGACTGGACAGCCACTTGTCTGAAATGGTATAGGCTCTCCTGTTTGAGCAGGGGGTTGGACTAGAAGATCTCCAAGGATCCTTCCAGCTCTATTCTGATTGAAGGATTAAAGGTGTTTTAAATATCTGTGTGGTTACACCTCACATATGTCATGACCAGTGGTGGGTTTCAAATTTTTTTACTACCGGTTCTGTGGGCATGGTTTGGTGGGCGTGGCATGGCTTGCTGGGCGTGGCAGGGGAAGGATACTGTAAAATCTCCATTTCCTCCCCAATCCAGGGGAAGGTTACTGCAAAATCCCCATTTCTTCCTGATCAGCTGGAACTTGGGAGGCAGAGGATAGATGGGGGCGGGGCCAGTCAGAATTTTTACTACCGGTTCTTCAAACTACTCAAAATTTCTGCTACTGGTTCTCCAGAACTGGTCAGAACCTGCTGAAACCCACCTCTGCTCATGACTTTCTAAATCAATCTACAGAAAGAGCTGTAAATGGTGAGATTTCACTACACACTGTAGTATAAATCATAGTTTACAAACCACAATGCCTAACCTCGTGTAACAATGAAAAAAAAAATCCCATTAAGACTTAGTGTAATATATTAATTCAGTCATAGTATGGGTAGGAGTTGCAATATTGTATAGGTTAAAGGCACAGTTTAAGAAAAATATTTAAATAGCCAGAGAGAGTTAGAAAGTGTTTATGCTAGTTCAATGCTATAAAGTTTTATATAATCAAGATTTTAAGTCTGCTTGCATTGTGACACCTTCTCCTGGTTTGTGTGCTTTTTTATTTTTATTTATTTATTCATCATCAGAATATGATGAAATGTTGAGTCAGTCCACAGCTGGCTTTATGAAACAAAAAGCACAAAAAAATTGAAAGCCAGATGAAGTGCAATAGCAGAGGCAGAAACTTTGCTGCTCTTTAAACAAGGCAAACCAATTTTAACATGAAGCATATTTTGCTTTTATTTTGGTGTATTGCACTTTCTTATGGACTCCCCATCCTTTCAGAGAAGAGAAGCGAAGAACAAAACCAACAGCTTGCACAGGTAACGATGCCACTGGGGCTCTGAGAAACTTAGAATCAATGCTATCTTGGGTTGAAAGATGGGGTTCTTAATATTTTTTGAGCTTGCTTTTTTCCTGCAGATGTTTAGTCACCAGTCTACATAACAACCTCAGTGCATAGGAGAGGGACGTATACTGGTTGTTTATATATACGAGCTTGTCTTGCCAGTCTTGTTTGGGATATGGCTTCTTTTTTCCCTCTTGATTGTTCCTTGATTAAGGTATTATGTTTTCCCCTAATTGTTTATCTGCTGCCATGTCTTACTTATCTGAATTCTGGTGCTCTAGCTTTGCTTAAGACATTTTAGAGTGATTTGTGTGCTACAGAAATTGTAGTGAGAAATTTGTGGTGTATGGGGGAGTTATCAGGGGTGGGCTGCTGGAGGTTCACAGGAGTTCGGGAGAACCTCTAGCTAAGATTCTGTGCAGTTCAGAGAGCCCCCAAATCCCACTCCTGGCTAGCCCCGCCCCGCCCACCCCTCCCCTCCCAGGAGTCCCCACATGACCCGTTTTGGATGCAGGTAAGTGCAGGGTTCACACGGAGGCTCGGGGAGGACGAACCCCCCCCCCCACCATGGTGCAGGAGGCCGACTAGGCCACGCCCACCCCGCCCACTGGGCAGAGAACCTGTTGCTAAAATGTTTGAAGCCCATCCCTGGGAGTTATCCTTTTGCATAGATTGTAATGGTTATGTTGTACAACTCCAAAGATCCAGTAATCCTACCCCCACCCCTCAAAAAACATAGATCACCTGTCACATACATTGCAAAGACAGTAAAAACTACTATATAGGATAGAGAAATAGAAAATTGACATATCTAAACATATTGGTAGTCCTTGACTTACAACAGTTCATTTAGTGACCATTCAAAGTGACAATGGCACTGAAAAAAGTGACTTACAACCATTTTTCACACTTACAACAGTCACAGGATCCCCATGGTCACATGATCAAAAATTCAGATGCTTGGCAACTGACTCATATTTATGATCTTTCCTGTGTCCCATGGTCATGTGATCCCCTTTTCCAGCCTTCTGACAAGCCAAGTCAATGGGGAAGCCAGATTCACTTAATAACTGTGTTACTCATTTAACAACCACAGTGATTCACTTAACAAATGTGGCAGGAAAGGTTATAAAATGGGACAAAGTTCACTTACCAACTGTCTCACTTAGCATCAGATATTTTGGACTGAAATGTTGTTGTAAGTCGAGGACTACCTGCCTGTATGACTGTCAACTGACAGTCACGAGACGGGATCAGCATTCCTTAAATCTCAACTCATAAAGAACCCCAACTAATCTCGGCAAATAAGATCCACAATTAAACCGTTGACATTTTAGGCCAAGCCAATTCCAAAATTCATGGCAGCTTGGCATTCTGTCAACACACATCAACAGACATATGGACATAAATCCTGTATTTGGGGGGAGGGGGGTGAGGGCAGGTAGAACAGGCACTTCCACTCAGTATTAACTCCTGGTCTGGATAGGATCATTTGATAGATAGAATTCTTTATTGGCCAAGTGTGATTGGACACACAAGGAATTTGTCTTTGGTGCATATGCTCTCAGTGTACATAAAAAGACAAGATACATTTGTCAAGAATCATAAGGTACAACACATTTGTTTAACAACTGTTCAAAGTTATGATGCTGCTGAATAAAATGACTTGTGGTCGGTCTTCAGATATGTGATTCTTGCAAGTAACATGATCAAAATGTGAGTACTGACATGTATTGACAATGGTTGCAGCATCCCAGAGTCCCATGATGGCTATTTGTGACTTTTCCAGAGGGTTTCTAACAAGCAAAGTCAATGGGGGGGGGGTTTGGAGCTGGATTCACTTAATGGCTATGTGATTTGCTTAATGACCATGGCAAAAATGTCAGGTGCAACTCACCTAACAACCAAATCACTTAGTAGTGGAAGTTCTGTTCCCAATTGTGGTCATAAGTCGAGGACTACCTGTAACAATATTCCTAAGAAAATGCAAAAATGAACATGCCATTTGTTCTACCAACCAAACATTTAATAGATTACAGCATATAACAAATCAATGTGAAAATTATGTGTTCATTTTCAGACTTAAAACGCTTTTCTGTTTTTGTCAGGCATATATCAATCAGTTTTATGAGCAAAAAGCGGATCCGGGGCAGCGAGGATGGAAGTTAAATAATTTGTCCTTCGTGGATAAAATCAAACAAATGCAAGACTTTTTTAGATTGAATGTAACAGGAAAGGTTGATGCTGAAACCCTAAAAGTCATGCAGCAGCCACGATGTGGTGTCCCTGATATTGGACAGTACGTCCTGGCTCTTCCTGGTTGGAGAAAAACCAAGCTTACATACAGGTAAAAAATAATTTGATGATAGACCAAATGAATGAGATGACCTCAAGAAATTCTTTGCGATATCCCCTAAATCTAAATCAACATGCCTCAGATAACAGTGACGCAGTACCTCCTTACTGTAATTGTGTACAGAATATTGGAAGAAATGTCCATCTGGGTTCAGTCCCAAGTGGGGAGAAAGATACGGGAAACATGGTGGCTGCTTGGAAAGAAGGTTTTAATGGTGGACAGGATCACATGCCTTGAAGATCTTGGGTGAAGAAAAAAAAGGGGGGGGAAGAGATGCTGAAAGTGCCTGTGTTTTATACCCTCTTCTGGCTTTTGAATTTGAGCTTATATTCTGATTGGTTGTTAGGCTCCTATGAGGCTATGCAGGGGTAACTTTGTAGATTGTGTTTTTGAGTCCCAAGCTTGGTTGACTCTTGCTGGGTGATGATGTAATGAAAGGGCTTTGGGCAATTCCTATTATGGCCGGGCCTGAAGGAGGTAGATCTTTGTTATGTAGAATAGACTGGCCCAGGCCTTAATGGCCCATTGACAAGGTTGGGAGTGGGGGCTGAGTTTCAGCCTCCCTTTTAGGGGAAATATTTTGCCCTTTTTAATATTTCCTAAAATATTTCATTTTCCTAGAAGAGGGGAGGGTGCTAACTTCCTACAGCTCTTAAGCAACAACTATTTTTTTCTTAAACTCATCACTTTTAACTTGAAAAATACTGAAAAGTAATTGTCACTCTTAGAACTTCATTTTAAACTGGAAAAACTGTTATGTCCTTATAAGGACATCCGCCCGGATTGGCTGCCAGCCATCGGGCGGGAAAGTTTAAATAACTGTCAGGGGCGGTGCGACTGCCGGAGCGAATATAAGGAGAGCTCCGGCAGCGCGCAGTCAGTCTTGCTACTGTTTCTTGTTCTAAATAAAGTTACAAATGTAACGAGCTGGTCACGTCTTCCATTTCCTGCGCCGATCTAACACTGGCGACGAAGGACTAGAGAAAGAGACGAACGTCGTGGCACCAAGCCAACAAGACCAAGACTCCGGCACCTGAAACCACAGTAGGCATTTCCGAAGGCATGGCATCCGCTGAAGTCACCTTGCCAGCCCTTGCTCCATTCCGCCCAGGGAAGGACAAGTGGAAATCCTACGTGGTCAAATTTTGGCAATACCTGAGAGGCAACAACATCAGGGATGCCGATGATGACCGCAAGAAGGGCATTTTCCTGGCTAACTGCAGCTCCGAAGTCCTGGACATGGCAATCGACCTCGTAGCACCACGAGACATCGAAGAAGTGCCATGGACGGACCTGCTGCAGATCCTGGAAGACTACTATGCCCCAACTGGAACACCAGTGGCGAACCGTTTCACCTTCCATCAGAGGGACCAGAAGGAAGGTGAGACCGTCAAAGAGTTCGTGGCCGCCCTGCGCCAGATCGCAGCCAGCTGTGAGTTTGACCACGTGGACAACGCCATCGCTGACCGCGTGGTTTTTGGCATGAGGGACAGAGGCCTGCAAAAGAAATTCCTGAGCAGGAAGAAACTCGTGCTCAAGGATGTGGTGGAGGAAGCCACCGCATCCGAAATCTCGGAGAAAGCGGCAGCCGCAGTAAGCAGAGCTAAGGGAATCCACAAGATTCGCTCAACAGTGCAATCTTCAACTGAGGATTCCACAGCTGGATCAGGGTCGGAGGAGGAGTCCACCGTCCACAAGGTATCCAGACCCCCAAGGTGGGAAACCGTCCAAAGAAGCTACAAGGGGGAGTGCTGTGCCAGCTGCAGAGGGGACCATGCCAGGGCAACCTGCAAGTGGAGAGATGCAACCTGCAGACGCTGCAACAGAAGGGGTCACATCGCCGAAGCTTGCAGAGCCAAGGAACCAGCCCCAGAGCCCTCCAGCCCCCGCCCCCGCGAGAATCGGAAGGATTACCAGAGATCATCCAAATGGTCCTCTGGCCCATCCAGACGCAGAGACAATGAGTTTCCCCGGAGCGGAGCGGTCCACCAGACGACCATCGCCCACACAAACTCAGACAATGCCACCAAGTTCCACGTGACCATCCACATGGAGGGATCACCCTGCTCAATGGAGGTAGACTCGGGCTCGGTCTACTCCATTATGGATTGGCAACAACTGAAGCGCCTGCAACCCAGCATCACCAAGCGAAACCTGAAGCCTTTACACTCCAAGCTCGTCGATTTTGGGGGAAACCCCATCGGAGTCTTAGGAAGAGCCAACATCCGAGTCTCCTACAACGAGTTCAAAGGCAAGCTTCCCATCACAGTCGTGGAGAACAGCCGACCGAACCTGCTAGGAGTGGAGTGGTTTAAGCCGCTGGGGCTATCAATCGAAGGCATCAACCAAATTCACAAGGACGAACTCGACAACCTCATCGAAGAGTTCAAGGAAGTCTTCGATGGTAAGCTGGGGAAATTTGTGGGGAGGCCAATCTCTTTTAATCTGGACAAGGGAATCACCCCAATTAGGCTGAAGCCCCACCGGGTTCCATTTGCCCTGTGGCCTAAAGTAGAAGAGCAGCTGGATAAGCTGATCGCCCAGGGCATCCTGGAACCGATCGATCATGCCTCATGGGAGACCCCCATTGTGACCCCACTGAAGCATGATGGGTCTGTGCGCATCTGCGCCAACTATCATTGTACCATCAACAAGGCGTTGGCACAGAGCGCATACCCAGTCCCAGTAGTGCAGCATCTGTTGCATTCCCTGGGAACTGGCACAATTTTTGCAAAACTGGACCTGGCCCAGGCTTACCAGCAACTGCCAGTGGACGAAAAAACGGCGGAGGCACAAACCATAGTCACACACAGGGGGGCATTCAAATGCAACCGTCTCCAGTTTGGAGTCAGCGCTGCCCCCGGCATCTTCCAATCAATGATGGAACGCCTTCTCCAAGGCGTTCCAGGAGTGGTGCCATACTTTGATGATGTACTGATCTCCGGAGATTCACAGGCACAACTCCTTGAAAGGCTCAGGCTTGTCCTGCAGCGCTTCAAGGCCAAGGGCTTGAGAGTCAGGAGAGATAAGTGCATTCTAGGAGTACAGGAAGTCGAGTTCCTGGGCTATCTCATTGATAGCACTGGCATCCACCCCACCAAATCAAAAGTGAAAGCAATCCATGAAGCTCCGAGCCCCAAAAACAAAACGGAACTTCAGGCATTCCTTGGGTTGCTCAACTTCTATGCAATGTTTCTTAAACAGAAAGCCACAGTTGCTGAGCCACTCCACCGCCTGCTGGGGAAAGCGGCTTCCTGGAAATGGGGCCAAGAAGAGGAAGCAGCATTCCGAGCTGTAAAAGGACTATTAACTTCAAAAAGCGTCCTCATCCAGTACAATGAGACGCTCCCCATCAAGCTAACCTGCGATGCGTCGCCCTACGGGGTGGGGGCAGTCCTCAGCCACGAACTGCCCAACGGCTCCGAAGCCCCAATAGCATATTTCTCAAAAACCATGTCCGGCGCGGAACGCAACTACAGCCAGCTGGACAAAGAAGCCCTGGCCATCGTTGCAGGAGTGAAACGATTCCACGAGTATCTCTACAGGAGGAGTTTCACCATAGTCACCGATCACAAGCCACTCCTGGGGCTCCTCGCAGGCGACCAACCCACCCCGACCTTCATGTCCCCGCGGATGATGAGATGGGCCATCTTCCTAGCCGGCTACTCCTACAGGCTCGTGCACCAGCCAGGCACAACAATAGGAAACGCCGACGCGCTGAGCAGATGCCCATTGAAGGATCCTGTAGAAGACCCAGCCCCCACGCTCCACCTGTTCCACATAGATGACGACGCCAGCTATCCAGTCTCATCCGCAGATGTGGCCGTCCACACCCAAAAGGACCCCACACTCCGCCAAGTGAAGTCCTGGATCCTCAGGGGGTGGCCATCAGAGAAGACAGAGAAGTTCAGCCCATTCGCCAGAAAGCAGAAGGAGCTGTCCACCATGAAGGGCTGTTTGCTATGGGGAGACAGGGCGCTGATTCCAAGCATTCTGCAACAGCGGATGCTAGAGGCCTTACATAAAGGGCACCCAGGCATCGTCCGCATGAAGGCCCTGGCACGGAGTTACGTCTGGTGGCCCTCACTGGACAGAGACATCGAAGAATGGGTCTCCAGACCCGTGCCAAGAAGTACGCCCAGCGCCGCCACAGGCCGAAACAGTGAAGTGGGAGACCCCCAGCAACCCCTGGTCGAGGATCCACATAGACTTCGCGGGTCCGATGCAAGGGCGCCACCTCCTCATCGTGGTAGATGCCTTCTCCAAGTGGCTCGAGGTGGTACCCATGGCATCTACCACAACGGAAGCGACGATCCGGGCCCTGCGCCGCCTGTTCGCCACCCATGGACTACCGGATGTGCTGGTCTCTGACAACGGCCCCCAATTCACATCCCTGGCCATGGAGGCGTTCCTGGTAGGACTGGGCATCCGCCATGCCCTGTCCACCCCGTACAGGCCGGCTGGGAACGGACAAGCAGAACGAATGGTGAGACTCACCAAGGAGGCACTCACCAAGATGGGCACGGGCGACTGGCAGGAAAGAATAGACAACTTCCTCCTCACCCAGCACATCACGCCACATGCCACCACCCACAAGAGCCCGGCCGAGCTGTTGATGGGCAGAAGGTTGAGGTCACCATTGGACCGGCTGCACCCCCAATACAGCCCAGAAGTGACCGCAACAGCCAGCCGCCCGCTTCGCGCCTTCAGCAAAGGAGATTCGATTTTCGTGCTAAATTTCCACGGCTCTCCTAAGTGGCTGAAGGGGAAGATAGACAGCACAACCGGCCCGAGGTCCTACACCGTGGAGCTGGAAGATGGACAGGTCTGTAGACGTCACATCGACCAGCTCCGGAAAAGGTGGGGGGAGCGCAAGAAAACCAGCCTGGCGAGGTAGGCCTGCAACACCCCGATGAGGTAGGCCTGCAACACCCCGGCGAGGTAGACCTGCAACACCCCTGTGAGGCAGGCCTACAACACCCCGACAAGGCAGGCCTACCACACCCCAGCGAGGCAGGCCACCACCACCCCGACGAGGCCAGCCGAGCCCACTACCAGGCACTGACACACCGACAGTCCAGAGTGGTAGACCGGGGCCAGCCACAGGGGGGATGGCCACACCAACCCGGCGAGGTGGGCACCTGGCACGGCAGGGCAAGAGACTACCAGCCCAGCCCGCGAGTAGACCGGAACCTGCCCAGGGGGGAAGCATCACACCCCCCCAGCAAAGGCAACCCATGACAGCCCTGCCAAGGAGACCTCCACTCCAGGCGAGTAGACCGGGGACCATCCGAGATGGGCACGATCTAACAAAAACTAAACTTGAATATTTATAGTATCGGTGTACGATTTAGGACTTTTAATTGCATTGCTTCTCGTGAAAGTTAGGGAGAACTCTAAAGTTCACTATAAATAGTATTTTAAATATGATAGAAAAGAGAAATTATTAAGTACACGACTAGGCAGTGAGAATATTAATCTATGTAATTTGATTTAATAATTCAATTTAATTGAAATGAAATATAAGGGAAATCCCAAAGGTGCTTTTTCAAAAAAACAACTGGACTTTGTTTTCCCTTCAAGATATTTGGCTTCTCATCCAAGAAGCTTCTTCAGTTCTGACTGAATGATGGAGGACGGAAGGATTTATATTCCTTGCAGTCATCTGGTTGTTAGCACTCTTTCTGAGAGTCATTGAGGCCACTTGGAGGTTTATCTGTGCCCTCAGGGTCACCTGAATAGTGCAAATGGGTATGGAACCTTCTTGGAACTGCTGAAAGGATTGTGTTGTAGCCTGGAGACATTGGACACTGCTATATTGCAAAAACAGTTCACTGGATGAAAATGCTTGTGGGGGGGGGGAGGGAAACTTGTTTTGCTCACACCTCAATAAAAAAATAAAAGTCACATGAATAACGCTATCCAGGAACTGGTCAACATGAATTGGAAATATTTAAGCCATTTGTGTTCTGACCTAGGCTCCCTTAAAAAGCAGGAAGCAGAGTCTTGATCCTGGCAAAACCTCTTTTATTTACACAACTGTGAATTACTTTCATTCACAGTCAGCAAGGCTTATCCAAACAGTTTTTCAAAGGAATATTTATCAACACACCTTATCTCGCTTGGCAAACTTGTTTCCAAATGCAGAGTCTCTTAGAGTCATGAACAGAACTTTCCACTCTTGAAATGACCAACCGAATGGTTTCCTGTAAAAGCCCACTCCCGGTTCACTCCTCTTTTGTTTCCTATGGGAGGGGCCAATTACATCCAAGGTGTGGCTTTACTCCTAAGTCGACCCTGCTTTCTGAGTTGTTCTTGTCTTCTGGCATGCGCACACTGGGAACAGGCTCCAGCTGTTGCCCTGCCTCTCTGCTGTCTAGTTCCCTCTCTGCCTCCAATACAGAGCCCTCATCCGAGCTTTTCCCAGCCCCCAGGACTGGCCTATGTTTCTCCCCAACCTCCTCACTGTCTGACTCTGCTGCCAGCTCTGCTGGCTACCAGCGGGCCACAACAATTTGTCTCAATCTACTTGGATCTCTGTTTTTTTTATTTGTATGTTCATTTTTCAGTCCAGATTGTTAATTGCCATAGTAATTGGCAATTGGCAAATGCAACGGATTTATTTATTTTTAAATCACCTTTATTATTGTTATGAATAACTCAAGGAAATATACAGTACCTAATGGTCCTGTTGCCTCCTATTTTTGCCCTGTGAGGTGAATTAGGCTGAGAGAGAATGCCTGGCTCAAGGTCACCCAGCTAGCTTTTATGACTAATGTACAACTAGAACTCACGGTTTCCTGATTTCTAGCCTGGTTAGAATAGACCAAACTGCTTCAGTGAGAAAATGCTCTGCGTTTTAATTTTCTTAGAATTATGAATTACACGCCAGACATGAAGAGAGCTGATGTGGATGCCTCCATCAAGAAAGCTTTTGAAGTTTGGAGTAAAGTCACTCCTTTGACTTTCGACAGGATGCACAGAGGGCGAGCAGACATCATGATTGAGTTTGCAACAAGAGGTAGCACCTTAAATCCTGCAGCAGCTTTAAGTTTCTTTAAGCTCTTTTTTATGAAGTGATCTCAGTACAGTAATCTCATGTCATGTTGTCTTTCAGTGCATGGCCGCTGTCCACGGCCATTTGATGGACCTCTAGGTGTCCTTGGGCACGCTTTCCCTCCTGGTCATTACTTCCGTGGAAATGTCCATTTTGATGAGGATGAAACCTGGATAGGCAATTTGTATGGTAAGTAGTAATAAATCCTTCAGTTTTGAAATGCAAGAGCTATTTTTCACTGTAGCTGTAGAACAGAGGTCTTCAAACTTGGCAGCTTTAAGACTTGTGGACTTCAACTCCCAGAATTCTCCAGCCAGCATACCTGGCTGGAGAATTCTGGGAGTTGAAGTCCACAAGTCTTAAAGCTGCCAAGTTTGGGGACGCCTGCTGTAGATAATCCTCCAAAGAGGACAATCCAGAATAATAATGAAGTTATTAAAAGGAGTATCACTGCATTCTTGTGCATGGTTATCTGAGCTGAGTTCCGAACCATGCATGGGACTTTCAATTAGAGACAGCACTGAACCATGCATGGGACTTTCAATTAGAGACAGTCCTTATGTTATGACCATAATTGAGCTCGCAATTATGGTTGTAAGTCATGATGGTCATAAAATGAATCACCAAGGGACTGGACTCAATTTTATTATCCTTTTTCAGGTGGCTGTTAAGTGAATATGGTGAGCAAATATGGTAGCAAACATCATGCTCATTACATGAATGCCACAGTCGTTAGCCAACCTATTGTTCACTATGAAAAGTAAATGCTAGCTGTTGTAATGTTGTAAATTGCAGTCATGTGATCCCAGGGTCATGTGATCACACTGCAAATGGCTACAGTATGTCTAATTGTTGGGCTGGTTGCTGAACACCCAAAATGCAGTCACATGATTGCAGGAGGGGGTGGACATCAGAATTTTGAAACCAGGACATAAGTACTATTTTTGGGGTCCATCATAACTGAAATGGTTGCTAAGCAACTGATCATAAGTTGAAGACTACCTGTATGTAAATTCAGTTATTATGGGATCATAAGCTTGAAGCAAACTGTTTTCATTCAGAGATTTCTGAGACAAAGGCAGGTTTTAGAGCTAACCAAGATAAATACTGTAAGTAAGTCAGGGGTGGGTTCTATTTATCTTTACTACCAGTTTGCATCACGCGCACTCTCTCTTCTGCGCATGCGCAGATCAACTTTGATGATGTCCAGGTCAGTGGGCGGAGCCTCCCACCGATTTTACTACCGGTTCTTGCAAACCAGTCTGAACCGGGGGCAACCCACCACTGAAGTAAGTAGGAATTCCATCAAAAGGAAAACAGGGAAGGGAAATATCACCTCTAATTATTCCAATTATTTTCTGGCTTGCTCCTATCACTCGGAACTAGAAGTAACTTGAAAGTGTCATTATTTCTTCATTTATTTACAGAGCAAAGAAGATCTAGAAATTACCCTGTTGCTCCAGAAGAAGATGTCAGAATTCCTATTTTGAAAAAAGCCCCAAAGCTGAAGTCTTCTGCTGTTCCTCTCCCTTACTCCACCATTAGTAAGTTTAAAAATTCTCCACTTTAGTGGTGGAAATTCTTCCTTGTAGAAATGGGGGGAATCTAATGACATTTTATCTGTAGTTATAGCAGTGGGAACAGTCTATATTAATGTCACTTATTTTGATATATATATAATTATACATCATCCATGGTTCTTCTTGCCTTTAAAAAAATGAACAGCTATGGCTGACTGAAACTTTTTATAAGTTTTTTTTTGTATGGAGTTCTTTAGCTTCCAATATAAATAGATAGTGGATGTTTAGATAGGACATTAGTCTCTGTTGGCCATCAATATAGTTCTCAGCTTCAGCTGGAACTCCCACTGAACTGGATGGGAAGCCAGGAAACTGCTAATGGAGCTTCATCAGCCAGAGGTAACACATGGAAAGCCCCAAAATGGATGTTCTATGGGCAAAGAAGGAGTAAGTGTGGACAGCTATTCTGACCTAGGCTTCCTTAGAAAGTATAAAGCACAATCTTAGTCCCGGTAAAACCTCTTTTATTTACACGGCTGTGAATTATTGTCATTCACAGTCCGCAAGGCTTCACAAACAGTCTTTCAGGGGAATGTTTATAAACACCCACCTTATCTCCCTTGGAATGCTGCCAGAAAACTAATTGCCACATGCAGGGCAAGGCCAAACTTGGCACAGAGTCAAACAGAACTTTTCAAAGCTTGAACCAACCAGATGAACTAATTGCTTCCTGCAAAAGCTCAGGTCCTGTTCACTCCTCTTTTATGTCTTATGGGAGGGGCCAATCATCTCCAAGCCTTACTCCCAAGTCGACCCTGTTTTCTTAATTGTTCTTGTCTTCTGGCAGCTCTGCACATGCACACACTGGGAACAGGCTCCCACTGTTCTTCTGCCTCGCTAATGTCAGACTCCAGAGGGTCTGGAGACTCCAGAGGCAGCACATAACTATCAGATGGCCTTGACCTCCTCTCTGCCTCCGATGCAGAGCCCTCATCTGAGCTTTCCCCAGCCCCCAGGACTGGTCCAAGTTCCTCCCCAACCTCCTCACTGTCCAACTCTGCTGCCGCTGGCGGGCCACAACAACAGCTTTGAAAAGACTAGATCCAACTATCCTGTTTTCCCACATTCATCTAATTTGGATGTCCATCTGCTATGTGAGCCCCGGAGCTATATTGCTGATTTGCTATCATGTTCTGCATGGCTGTCCGTAGGAATGATTACAAACACAGCAGGAATTATTACAATCTACTGCCTTGAACAGACTGGAAAAACAGATATCCCTCCACAATCTGCCTGGGCCATTATGCCCTGAAAACATTGTGAATTGGGATATAGGAATTAATTGCTCCAAGGCCAGCCATGACTGCTTGTAAGGACACCTAAGAACACTTTAACATTGGAATTGTTATATTGGTCCATAAGGTCAATCCTGAGACATGAACCACAGGAACAAGTCATTGAATTTTATCAGCAACACTTTCAAAAGTGGCTTACCAATCAATCTTCCTAAGGGCATGGCCCAAATCACACAGCTGGTTTCCCATAGCCTCTGAACTTCTTTAACTAATAGACCAGGACCACGTGCCGGTCATGCCCATATCCAGTTAACAAAAGTGGAAAAAGCCCCGATACGTCACATGACGCCACCGTGACGACATGAGTTTGATACCCCTGTATTAGACACAAGGGTGAAATGCTTCCGGTTCGGACTGGATCGCCCGATCCGGTAGCGATGGTGGCGGGTGGTTTGGAGAACTGGTAGCAAAAATCCCTGCGCCCTCCCACCCCCCACCATGCCCAGCTGAGCTACACGATCATCAGAAGCTTTTTTTTTTTTACTTTTAAAAACATTTTTTCTACAACCTCTTTTGATGAAAAAATGCTTTTAAAAGTAAAAAAAAGCCTCTGATGATCCCGCGGCTCAGCTGGGATCATCAGAGGCTTTTCAAAGCATTTTTTCCTGCAACCTCTTGGCCAAAGAGGTGGTAAAAAAAATGCTTTGAAAAGTCTCTGACGATCCCAGCTGAGTTCCTGATCGGCAGAGAGGTTTTTCAAAGCATTAGAAAAAATGCTTTGAAAATTTTTTTTTTAAAAAAAGTTGGCCACGCCCACCCAGTCACATTACACCCCCCACCAAGCCACGCCCACAGAACCGGTAGTAATAGATTTTACATTTCACCCCTGACTAGACCAAATTGGTTCTCTTGAAAATAGGGACATGTTCCTTATACAAATAAAACATTGTTCCTGTATGTAATGCCTTGTGAAGTTCTACTGTATATTATATGCATGTATTACAAATGTCTCATTTTCTCCATGTAAGCCTCAAATAGAACAATCATATGTGCATTTCCTTGATACTGAATCCCAGTGAACTCAGTGGAACTTCATGTATGTATCTACAGTCCATGTATAACTATGTTTTATTGATTTATTGATTTATTGATTTATTTAGAATTCAACTTGTTCCTTGTTGCTGCCCATGAGATTGGGCATGTACTTGGCCTTGCACATTCTAATGATCCAAGAGCACTGATGTTCCCCAATTATAAACCCATTGACCCTGATGAGTCTCCACTTTCTGAAGATGATATTAATGCCATTCAGGCCATCTATGGTAAGAAAGCGTGCTTGCAGAGTTCACTCACAAAACCATGATTCAGATTTTAACCTACCTTCCTTTAATTTGTTTGAAAGCATGTCCAATATTTTTCCAGGCCCTTTATGTGCTTTCGAACTGCTAGGTTGGCAGAAACTGGGACAAGTAACGGGAGCTCACCCCATTACACGGCACTAGGGATTTGAACCGCTGAACTGCCGACCTTTCGATCAACAAGCTCAGCGTCTTAGCCACTGAGCCACCGTGTCCTTTTTTTTATTTAAAAAAAAGTTATTAAGACAATAACTCTGTCTTAATGTAGGCTTCAAAAACAAGCCCATGATGATGTTTTGTGTGTCATGAAAGTGTTCTGGAAATGATGCCATTACGTAATTAGATAAAACTTACACATATTGCATAGTTCACTTCATTTGTCCACAATCTTCAAATAGATCCCTTTCCACTCTGAGAATAAGTGTTATGATTAATCATATTCCATCTGATTATTTTAGGACCATCACAAAATCCTTCAAATGAACCAGTGAAGCCAACGCTACCAAAAGCCTGTGATCCTAAGCTACGTTTTGATGCCATCACTACCTTCCGAAGAGAAGTCATATTTTTTAAAGGAAGGTAAACAGGATTTGCTTACTATAAAAGGAGAAAGACAGAACAGCTGCATAGTACATACCCTATTTTTCAGAGTATAAGACGCACTGGAGTATAAGATGCAGCTTAGTTTTTGGGGAGGAAAATAGCGGGGAAAAATCTGCCTACCAGGTTTTCATCTGGCTAGCGTCCTTAGTCTGGTCAGCTTCAGCACATTAGTTTACTGGTTTTTATCCCTTGCTTGGGGATAAAAAACAGCTTCTAAAGCACAACTGATCTTTGGAGAGAGAAGCAATGAGAAAAGCAGGCAAACCACAGAGATCGCTTCACTCGTTAGCACCTCATTAGGACTGGAAAAAAACTTCACAGCTGAGAGTTGGAGGGAGCAGGCAAATCACAGAAGATCGTTTCACTGAAAAAAAGCTTCTAAAGCACAGCTGAGAGTCGGAGGGAGCAGGCAAAGCACATAGATCGCTTCACTCGTTCAGCCTCATTAGGGCTGAAAAAAAAGCTTTGAAAAAGCTACATTCGGAGTATAAGACGCACCCAAATTTTCAGCCTCTTTTAGGAGGGAAAAAAGTATGTCTTATACACTGAAAAATATGGTATATCTGCAAGTTGAGTAGTTTGACACTGAAAATAAAATCTTTTCCACTCTCTACCCCCACCTTGTGTTCATTTGTTGCCTCATCCTTGTTGTCCCAAAAAGTGCTTTTTTTTTCTTTTTGGTTTTTCCTTGAAGACATTTGGCTTCTCATCTAAGAAGCTTCTTCAGTTTTGAAGTGAAAAGGCTTGGATGAGAGGTAAAACATCTTCAAGGGAAAAAAAAGAAAGTCCAGTGATCTTTGGGAAAAGCATCTTAGGGACAACCATGTCCTGGATGACTGAGAATCTCCATAGACATTTTGCCTCATCATATTTTTCTGACTCCATTGTAGAAAGTTGGCAATTTTGATTCATTAAAACTTAACCGTAAGTATATATACTTCACGATTCATTTACTCACTATAAACCTTAGAATAGCACCAGAATTATTTTCCTTCAAATTGCACGTGGATTGGAATTTAGAGGGAACCAATCAAGGTAGGTTTTGTGTCAAATAATACATGCCTGAACCACTAGATTACAGAACTATAGGGTTCTAGCTCAAAAGGATTCTTATTTTCTTAGTCTTTGAAGCCTGAAATCTTACTAGGATGAATCTCCAGAAAACATACTTTTCTGGGGAAAGTATGGCCTTACTAGGGCCTTACTTATGAGTAAATATGCAAGCCATTGTCCCAAAGGTGCTTTTTGAAGAGGCAACTGGACTTTCTGGTTTTTCTTTGAAGACATTTCACTTCTCATCCAAGAAACTTCTTCAGCTCTGACTGGATGATGGGGAATGGAAGGATTTATATTCTTTGCAAGGGGGCACAATGCTCAGCAGTTTAAGACACTGGGCTTATTGGCTGGAGAGCTAACAGCCCAATGGTTTGAGACCTGAGTGTCGCTCCGAATGGATGATGGGGAATGGAAGGATCCACCATCCAGTCAGAGCTGAAGAAGCTTCTTGGATGAGAAGTGAAATGTCTTCAAAGAAAAACCAGAAAGTCCAATTGCCTCTTGAAAAAGCACCTTTGGGAGAACCATGACCTGGGTGACTGAGAATCTCCTTAGACATATACAAGCCATTGCACCAAAAATGTTCTTATGTTCAGCTTTTGTCCCTAATTGTATCCTTCTGGCTATGTTAGACTGGTTTCTATGCTTTACTGATTTACAATAGAACCAGTTGCCTGTTTTAATTCACAGAATAATTATTATTAGTAATAGGAAATGCAACATCACATTTATTACAGGCACATCTGGAGAGTGTATCCTACTGGTTCTGAAGTGGACATGGAACCAATTTCTACTTTGTCGCCTCTCTTGCCATCTGGAATCCAGGCAGCTTATGAAAATATGAACGACCAGGTTTTTTTCTTTAAAGGTAAGACATTAAGCCTTGTATTATTTGAATTAGAAGTTTAGGAATGAGCAACCTGCAGTGCTAGAGTGATATATATGCCCCCTGGATTAATTTCAAAAGTTCTCTGCAAACATTCAGTTCGGGTCTCAGAGAATAGCAACTTCTCTGGCAAACAGCTGTTGGAAAAGAGGAAACAAGATGGAAATAAGAAAAAGAAAAACAGGGGGGGAAAGGGAGAGGTTAGGCAAAAGGAGAGATGGCACTGAATTTTCAAGGCTAATAGCCAAGTTTGTGAGGAAAGAGGAAAATTCTGCATGATGATGGGGATAGTGTCATGATGCAAGTCCTTGCTCCTCAGTGTCCATTATTTTACCAAGTTTGATACACAACTTTCCTGTGGAAGCCTTACTAACAGTTCTTTTTTTATATATATTAATTTTTTTATTTTCTTTTAATACAAAACATTCCATCATTCATTACACAGTGTGTCGTCTGGGTACAATTTTTTTGTGGCATAACAGTTGAAGCTTACCACGAAGCTTACCACCAGATTCATTATTTATATCTACTCTTATTTTAGTATTAATGCTTAATACTTAATGTATCTATTGGCATAACATTTCTCATCTTAACTTATTTGACTTTATTATACATTACTTTCATATTTATTCTCTATCCATTGATAAAATAAATCCCATATATTGTAATAATCAGATTCTTCTTTTCCATTAATTGCAAGTTACTCAAATCTACTCATTTCTGCACATTCCATTATTTTCTCTTTTAAAAAATAATTTTTATTAAATAGTTTGTCTTTAAAAACAACACAAAAAACAATCACACATATATAAAAACAAAACATGTCAAGACATAACGTATTGAACATAACAATGGTAATTTTACAGCATTTCGTATCGATTTACGTATTTTGCTTTTGTAGTTCTCTATTCTATTATTTCTATTTACTACTCAATGGTAGAATAATCGCATTACTCCAACATATATACTGTACATACACATTATAATATTCATTGTTCTTATCTACACATTTATATTTGTTTATATTTATATCTTTTTATTTAATGTTGTTCAGTTACTTTAAGTTTCATCAATATTAAGTTAAACATTTCTTGTTCTGATTTCTATTTTCGAGCCAACTGTACATTTTATTCCATATTTCATAATATTCCGAATCCTCTCTCTCTTTCAACTCCATAGTCATTTTATCCATCTCTGCACATTCGAGAATTTTCCTAATTACTGTTTCGTCTGAGGGTACATTTTTTTGTTTCCAATTTTTTGCAAATGTGATTCTTGCTGTGGTAAGTCCAATATTTCTTAATCACATTTTCATCTGCAGGAATCTCTTCACCTTTCCAATTCTGTGCAAATACAATTCTAGCCACAGTTATTACATGAATAATCAAGTATACATTTTCTTTACTACAGTTCCCTGGTAAAATCCCCAACTGGAATATCTCAGGTGTTAAATCAATGTGCTGCTGCATCATCTTCTCCAACCACATACGAATTTTTGCCCAGTATTTTTTTTGTTTCTACACACGTCTATCACATATGATAACACGATCCCGGTGTCCGATGGCATTTCCAACATTTAGTTGATTTATCTTTAAACATTTTTGTCAGTCTTTCAAGTGACAAATGCAATCTATACAACATCTTGCACAGATTCTCCTTGTATGCAGCTGACATTGTTAACTTATAATTTCTATCCCATAATTGCTGCCATTTATCTAATTCTATCATATGTCCAATATTTTTTGCCCATGCTATCATTGTTTCTTTAACTTGTTCTTCTTCTGGTTTAATACTCAATAAATAACTGCACAATTTTCTTATCACCCACCCATCTGTTCCTGTTAATATCTTATCTAATTCTGTCAAATTCCATATGAAAACCATATAAGTTTGCATCTTTTTCATATCTAGATTGTATTTGCAGTTGTGTATACCACACCATATTGATCCCCTGCTTTTCCAAATTTTGTTTCATTTTAAGTTCCCCCTTTTCTGACAAAATATCCTTATATCTAACAATATTTCCCATATTAATAATATTTGGGTGTATTAGTGCTTCCATTGTCGAAAGCCAAACTGGTATCTTCAAATAATGTTGTTCTCTAATTTTCTCCCGTACTAATAATAAAGCATTTCTTATATAATGTCTTCGAAAACAACCATCTATCTTATTTTTCCCATACCATAAAAAGGCGTGCCAACCCAGTTGCAAGTCAATGTCCCTCCAATGTCAATAATCTTGTATTTCTCAATACAATCCCTTCTTTCATCCATGTTAACACTGCTGCCTGGTAGTAAAATTCCCAGTTTGGTAATCCAAACCCTCCTCTGGTTCTCGCATCTTGTAATAGTTTTAAGTTAATTCCCGCCTTCTTCCCCTGCCATATGAATTTCACGATTATTTTGTTCAATTTTTCAAAATATTTTTTCTCCAATTTTATCGGAATTGTTTGGAATAAAAACAATAGTCTTGGTAATATGTTCATCTTGATTGTTGCTATTCTTCCTATTAATGATAATTGCAAATTTTTCCATCTCTCCAAATCTGTCTCAATTTGTTGCCTTACTAACAGCTCTTGAGAGGTCTGTGTTCTCTAGGAATTCATCTCCTTTTAAAGCCAGGCAATTAAGAACAGCAGCCAAATTCCACTGGTAAGAGAAAGAGAGGAGAAATGTTCAAACAGATTTGACATAGTCCCCCTGAGTTGTCTAACAGCTTGCCTGGCTGTAGGAACCAAGGGAGATTTAAGACAGGGAGATGCACATTGAAAGGATTCTGTAAATGAAGAAGAATGTTTGTTTTTGATGTCCCAAAGGTAGTTTCTTTCAGGAGGCAACTGGATTTTCTTGTTTTTTCTTTGAAGATGTTTCACTTCTCATCCAAGAAGCCATATATTTCACTCTAGTACTGCCAGGTTGCTCATTCGTAAACTTCTAATTCAAGATTTGAGAAGAAAACACAAGAAAGTCCAGTTGCCTCCTGAAAAAACCACCTTCGAGACAACCATAACCTGAATGACTGAGTATCTCTACAGATGTTGGATGAAAGACTCTTGTGTAGGACTCACACTGGGTTTTGCTTTAAGAAAAAAAATTGGGAGCTGCCCAGAGTTGGTTCAAAGATGGGTGGGTATATAAATGTTTTAAATAAAATAAATGAAGTTGAAAAAAATGAAGAGCCTTGTATTTGGGCAGCCATCATTCATTTAAAACTGATTAAATGGATACATACATACATACATACATGGATTATTTAATTACATTTGAAAACTTTTGACTTTCTTTCCTCCTATGTCTTTCGACAGGTAATAAATTCTGGATGATTAGTAGGCTTCAAATGCAGCCTGGCTATCCCCAATCCATTGACAAGTTGGGATTCCCAACAAACATTCAGAAAATCGACGCTGCTGTTTTTGATAAAGATACTAGAAAAACCTATTTCTTTGTTGGCAACCAATACTGGAGGTAAGGTCTCTTGAACCCCTTTTAAAAATAAGGAGCATAGTGAGCCTTAGGAAGAAAAGACAGAAGGGGAATATTAAAGTGATTTTCGAATGCTTTTTTAAAAAATATTTTTATTGGAAGTTTTAATAACAGTAAAAGAAAATGCGGAGTAAACTCAAAAAGAAGGGAAAGTAAAGCAAAACAGATTTTTAAAGGACATTAAGTTTTTTTTAAAAAAACCTTAATCAAACAAACCAACTTTATACTTCTAACAATCTTAACCTTTAGATCAGGAGTGTCAAACTCGGGCCGGATGCGTCACGTGACACCGCCAGTTTAGCGAAGGGGGAAAAAGTCCCGATACGTTACATGACATGATGAAGTGAGCTTGACACCCCTGCTTTAGATCCATGAGCCGAGGTGGTGCAGTGGTTAGGGTGCAGTACTGCAGCTACTTCAGCTGACTGCTAGTTCAGCAGATCAGCGGATCAAATCTCACCAGACTCAAGGTTGACTCAGCCTTCCATCCTTCCGAGGTGGGTAAAATGAGGACCCAGATTGTTGGGGGCAATATGCTATTTAGTATACTGTCTTTGGTGTAAGCCACCCAGAGTCCTCGGAGATTGGGGGGCATAGACATATGAATAATAAAATAAAATAAAATAAATGATCTTCAAATACACAGCAGACCCCATACAGGCTTAAGGACATTCTAACAGAACACTAGAAAAACCTTCCTAGCAGTAGGTTTGGCAAGGAAAACTCCATTTTAAAAAAATCTTCATAAGTCTTAGAAAATTCTGTGATTCTATTTCTTGTGTCTGTTTCTGTGTCCACATGTATTCCCCCACACCCATGCCTATGCATACAAATACATACATTAAACAGAGAGAGAGAGAGAGAGGGAGAGAGGGAGAGAGGGGGAGAGGGAGAGAGAGAGAGAGAGAGAGAGAGAGAGAGAGAGAGAGAGAGAGAGAGAGAGAGAGAGAGAGAGAGAGAGATCCCAATGTGACCCCCAACTGAGTCCAAATTTCCGCTGTAAGCAATACAGTTCTTAAGTGAATTTTGCCCCATTTTATAACCTTTCATGCCAAGGTTGTTAAGTGAATGAACCGCAATTGTTAAGTGAATCTGGCTTCTCCATTGACTTTGCTTGTCTGAAGGTCACAAAAAGAGATCATATGACCCTGGGATAGTGCAACCGTCATAAATATGAGTCAGTTGAGAAGTGTCTGAATTTTCATCGCATGACCATGGGGAATGCTGCATTGGTTGTAAGTGTGAAAAATGATCACGAGTCACTTTTTTCAGTGCCCTGTTGTTACTTTAAACGGTCACTTAATGAACTGCTGTAAGTCGAGGACTACCTGTATATGTGCTATATACAGATAGTTTTATATACTGTATATACTCGTGTATAAGCCGAGTTTTTCAGCACATTTTTAATGCTAAAAAAGCCCCCCTCGGCTTATACTCAAGTGAGGAAAAATAATGCCTTTAAAAGCCTCTGGCGATCCCAGCTGAGTTGCCTGATCGTCCGAGGCTTCTAAAAGCATTTTTTCCTGCAATGTCTTTACTATTTTTTTGTGGTAAAATTAGGTGCCTCGTCTTATATTCAGGTTGGCTTATACTCGAGTATATAAGGTATATAAAAGAGAAGTGCACAACCTACAATATACATTGGGAGCAATTCTTTTAATTGTTCATATTTAAACCAAATCAAATTTAGCTTTATCTCACAGCAAATCTAGCTCAGTTTTTTTTATCTTAGCATCAGACACTTTTTGGTTACAGTTTACCCATTTTTTTTCAAATGAGGTTAGCATATCTTCAACCACACTCACAATTTTTGTGCCTCCTTGTTTTAGGACTCACACGTGATAACACATTTCATCTCCTAAAGCAAATGTTCACACTCTCTAAACATAACACCAAGCACTAACAAACACTGCATCCGAATGTAATGATGTGGAAAACAGAATACGGATATGAAATGTATTACAAATATTTATATATTACTTTCCAAACAATCAACAAATAGAATGGGAGGTCATTAGTGGCGCACAGAGAGTCATCAACGTATGGTCACAATGGAGCCCAAATTTTATGTTGTTAAATATTGTAAGAAATTGTTATGTGAGTTTTATGACTTTTCTTGCCATATTTGTTAAGTGAATCACTGCAGTTTTTAAATTAGTAACATGGGTGTTAAGTAAATCTGGTTTCCACATTGACTTAGCTTGGAAGAAGATTGCAAAAGGGAATCATGTAACTCTGGGACACTGCAACCGTCATAAATGTGAGTCAGCATCTGAATGTAAATCACGAGTCCATGGGGATGCTGCAACAGTCATAAGTGTGAAAAATGAACATAAGTTACTTTTTTCAGTGCCATTGTAACCTTGAACGGTTACTAGACAAACTGTTGTAAATCAAGGACTATCTGTAATGTATTGTTCTCCATCGGATTCTGTTTGCTTATATCTATCTCATCTTTCCCCACATCACATATTCCACCAACAGCTATTCTCATTATCTTTCATTAGGACCATGGGTTGAATTCACACCAGGCACATCTTGCACTTAATATGTTCCTTGAATTGTATTTTTCAGGTATGATGAAAATACTCAGTCCATGGATGAGGATTACCCAAGGAATATAAGCGATGATTTTCCTGAAATTGATGAGAAGATTGATGCTGCCTTCCAGCTCAATGGTAAGGGGGGGGGAAATGTATTTTCTAATGTGGATCTAAAATATGGATCATGGACCTGCTCATAGACATGGGAACTTGTCTACTATCATTATTTATTTGTATGCCACATTCCTATGGCAGTGGCACTTAAAAGCAATAGAAAAAACTGTACTGTATCACAAGATAATTCACAAGATAATTATTTAAAAAAATGGTTAACAATGAACCTTAAACAGTTTCACTAATCTGCATAATAATATGCATTATCCAGTAGCCTTCTGTAGTCAATATTAAGGACTGAAAAGTGAAATGTAGAAATGTTATCCAGAAACACATAAAAAGGCGTTGAATAGATTTGAATAAAACTTGCAAAGATTTGTCCCAAAGGTGCTTTTTCAAGAGGCAACTGGACTTTCTGGTTTTTCTTTGAAGACGTTTCGCTTCTCATCCAAGAAGCTTCTTCAGCTCTGACTGGATGGTGGGAGAAGGAAGGATTTATACTCCTTTCAGACAGCTGGTTATTTGCATTCTTTTAGCCAGTCATCAAGGTTACCTGGAGGTTTATCTGTGTCATCAGGACCTGAGTGGTGGAAATGGGTGTGGAGCCTTCTTGGATGGGAGATAGTTGAAGTTGCAGTGGTGGGATTCAGCCAGTTCAAACCACTTCGGGAGAACAAACCACTTCGGGAGAACCGGTTGTTAACTTTCTGAGCAGTTTGGGAAACTGGTTGTTGGAAGAAATCATTAGGGCAGAGAACTGGTTGTTAAATTATTTGAATCCCACCACTGTGATGTTGTATCCCTCCCCCTCTGTTGAGAGAGGGCTATTCGATTTTGACATAGATGGCTTCTTCGATCCCTCTTTCAAACCAGCAAACCTCTCTGTCCAAAATATGGACTTTCTTGTCTTCAAAAGAGCGGCCTGTGCCTTTTATAAATGGAGATGGACTGCTGAATCTAGTCGTGATGTGTTTGTTCTCCTGTGCTGTGCCACGAAAAACCAGAAAGTCCAGTTGCCGCTTGAAAAAGTACCTTTGGGACAACCATGACCTGGATGACTGAGAATCTCCATAGACATTTGCAAAGATTTGCCACTTTTGAGTTTGCCGTATCATCGTCTTTACAATCACATCACAGCTGAAAGAATAGAATAGAATAACAGAGTTGGAAGGGACCTTGGAGGTCTTCTAGTCCAACCCCCTGCCCAGGCAGGAAACCCTACACCACTTCAGACAAATGGTTATCCAACATCTTCTTAAAAATTTCCAGTGTTGGAGCATTCACAACTTCTGCAGGCAAGACTAGAGAATGCCTCTACTAATCTTTTGTCAATCATACTTTCTACAGCATTTACAAATTGGGAGGGAGGGAGGATTCCTTGGTATTCTTTGAGCTTGGTTATTTTCTTGTAAACATTTCATTACCCAATTAGGTAACGTCATCAGTGCTAGTGGGTCAATTCAACAGTTCAACCCTGAGCTACAAATATTGTCCTCTACTGGTTTATAAATTTACAAAACCTACCTTATGCCATCCATGGTTTGTTTTAAAACTGACGGCACTGTTTTGATATCTTGTCTATCATCTGACATTTTTTAAAAAAAATTAAAAAATAAATAAATTGAGGGACAAATATGCCAAATACAGTCTGAACATCTGGCTGGAAAAAAAATTAAAATAGTAACAAATAAATTAAAAAGGAAACACAAACAAAAAAACCCCCTCAAAGGGCAGACTCGATGGATGTTTTTCTGCCATCAGTTTTCTATGTTTCTATCATTTTTCTATATAACACCATGTTTTTCCTTTTAGGTTTCTTCTATTTTTTCCATGGGTCCAAGCAGTGGGAGTTTGATCCGAAGACTCAAAGGGTGATTCGTGTAATGAAAAGCAACAGCTGGCTTAATTGCTAGAAATTTTCTTAAAACACAACTCCTGTAACAAGAAAATAGTATACAGATGATTCTGTTAAAGCACTAAAACTATGAACTGTTGTATATCACAGATAATACATTTGGCAAGCAAAGATCCAGTGGACCACAAAATGGCAGTAAAGAAATATTGAAAATTAGCTTTTTGCTGTCCGCAGGATGGTTGCAAAACAGTTATATGCTTCTGCTTTAGCTGCTTGTAAACAGTGACTGCATTTTCTTCTGTGACATGGGCACTAATAGTCTGCATGTTTGCCCCCAAATAAGATTCACTAAGTTCAGGGAATTGCATTGGCTGGAGAATATGTGCCAATTCAATGCTATGCATTCTGAAATAGATTTGCCATTTTTTAAAAAACTATTAGCTTTTAAAATATATTTGTAGTTGATGTACAATAAGACAAGAAAATAATTTTAATAAAAACGAAGTATTATATTAGAACAGGGGTGTCAAACTGGTGGCCCGCGGGCTGGATGTGTCACGTGCAGGCCACGCCCACCCCAGCTCCGCGAAGGGAAAAAAAACATCGCAATACGTCACGTGACGGCAAAGTGACGCGGCGAGTTTGACACCCATGTATTAGAAAATGTTTTTCATATTAAATACAAAATACAGAAGTTACACTTCGAAAATCATTACTGAACGAAAGTAAAGTTGGGTTGAAGGTTTTGAATAGCAGATAAACATGCGCATCAGCAAATTTCAGTCGGGAAAATCTGTTTTTAATTCTTGCTGTTTGTGAACTAGATAAACAAATGGCATGATTTGCAAATCCAATCCGCATAAAGTCATTGTTTCTATTTCTAAACAGTTTAAAACTGTAGTTGCACATCATTTTACACCATAGTTTACTTTGGCTGAGTATATAAGAACTCCTCCTCTTCCATCATCATTATCATCATTATCAGGGGTGTGTGTCTGTGTGTGTTTTCATCTGGAAAAATTGAAAAAGTGCAAAGAAGAGCAACTAAAATGATTAAAGGCCTGGAGGCTAAAACATATGAAAAACAGTTGCAGGATTTGGGTTTGGCTAGTCTAGAGAAAAGAAGGACTGGAGGGACATGATAGCAGTATTCCAGTATTTGAGAGGCTGCCACAAAGAGGAAGGGGTGACCCTATTTTCCAAAATATTTTCTTTGTCCTGCACCTGTAGGCAGGACAAGAAACATTGGATGGAAACTAATGAAGGAGAGAAGCAACTTGAAATTAAGGAGAAACTTCCTGACAGTGAGGATGTCAGCGTCCCAGCACTGACATATATAAGGAGAGGAGAAGCTTGAACTTTTGCCTACTTAATCCCTTTGAAGATTCTGTCTCCTCGGAGATGGGAGGAGGAAGACATTCCTGTGATCTGATGGAGAAGGGATGAGGAAAGTGGCTTGGAAGATGGCCAATGAGACGCAGAGAATTGGGGATCAGAAAGAGAGGGATTGGGGGGGCAAAGGTCAGTACTGACCGTGAAAGAGCCAGGGACAGATCGCTATGCTCAATAAAGAGAAAATTTCCTCAAAGATCGGCAGTTTGGAAATTCATTTATTTTGAGATAGCATCGGAACCTGAGAGAGGACAATTAACCAGTGGAACAGCTTGCCTTCAGAAGTTGCAAGTGCTTCAAAGGTTTTTAAGAAGAGACTGGAAAGTCGCTTGTCTGAAATGGTATGGGGTCTCCTGCTTGAGCAGGGGAGTGGACTAGAAGACCTCCAAGGTCCCTTCCAACTCTATCTTGATTGAAATGAAGAAAGAGGCTTTGATTAGGTTTCACACGTTTTTCAGGGCAAGATATCATGATATCAGAGCCGTGGTGGCGCAGTGGTTAGAGTGCAGTACTGCAGGCTACTTCTGCTGACTGCCAGCTGCCTGCAATTTGGCGATTCAAACTCACCAGCCTCAAGGTTGACTCAGCCTTCCATCCTTCCAAGGTCAGTGAAATGAGGAGCCAGATTGTTGGGGAAAATATGCTGTAAACCGCTTAGAGAGGGCTGTCAAGCACTGTGAAGCAGTATATAAGTCTAAGTGCTATTGCTATGTGATGTGGATTTTTAAAACAGGAAAGATGAATGCCTAGGAAGGCAATAGATTACTACTTTGCAGCCAAATAGTATCTCCTGCTTTTATGCATACACATTTGTATAAATCTCTATCACTTTTACCCATCTCAATTTTTAAAAATTCATTTTATTGGAAGTATTGAGAATTTTTGATGTTCAGTCACTAAGTCATGTCTGACTCTTTGGGAGCCCATGGATCATTGCATGCCAAGCCCCCCTGTCCTCCACTGTCTCTCTCAGTCTGCCCAAGTCATGCCCACTGCATCAGTGACACTATCTAACCATCTCATCCTCTCCCATCCCTTTCTCCTTTCTCCTTCAACCTTTCCCAACATCAGATTTTTTTTTCCAGTGAATCTTCTCTTCTCATTTGGTGACCAAGTGTGATGACCTGGGGCAAGGCACGGAGGCAACACAGTCAGCTGATAGTTCAAAATGCCCCTTTATTGCTCCAACTTTCCCCCAAACACTCTCACGTTTATGGCAAGTCCCAGAGAAAAGTGCTCTCTCTCTCTCTCTCTCACACACACACACACACACACACAAACACACACACACACACAGCAGCAGCGGTCTCTGGCCGCAAGTAGCCCATCAAAATGCTGTTAGCACAATGGCTTCAAAGCAAGAAATCCAGCAGGGCAAAGGAATAAGTTAATGAGTCCAGGAAGCAAAGAAACAAGGAAATTAGTCCAAGAAGCAAGGAATAAGTCCAGGAAACTCCAAATGTCAGCAATGGCACACAAAACCCCACAAATTCAGCATTTGTTCCCAACAAACACAATCTCCCCACAGCATCTCCTTAAGTCTCAGTTCCCAGGTGTGCCTTGTGAAGAGGGATGGGGCATTGTCCTTCCGAGATGTAGGGTTCGCCTGCGCTGTTCCTGCCTCCTCTCCACTCTCCATGCTCAGGGATCAGGAGGGGGTGGTCCTTGCTGATCGCCTGAGCTTTGTCACTCTTCATCTCCACTGCCTGCCCTCTCTTGGTCGTCCTGCCCCTGTTCCTCCCTGCTGGCAAGCCATCCCAAGCCTGAGGGGCCCAGGGATGCTTCATCCTGTTCCTCCCCCCATACCTCCAAGGCCAACGAAGCCACCCCCTCAGTTTCCATTGGCCACAGCTCTGGCTCATCCTCCCCTGCGGATTCAGGCTCTAATGGGGTCATGACACCAAGGTATTTGAGCTTCAGCTTCAGCATCTGTCCTTCCAATGGACACTCAGGGTTGATTTCCTTTAGGATTGACTGATTTGATCTCCTTGCAGTCCAAGGAACTCTCAAGAGCCTTCTCCGACACCACAATTTGAAAGCATCAATTCTTTGGTGCTCAGCCTTCCTTATGGTCCAACTCTCACAGCCATGCATTACTACTGGGGAAACCATAGCTTTGACTATACAGACCTTTGTCAGCAAGGTGATGTCGCTGCTTTTTAATATGCTATCTAGGTTGGTCATAGCTTTCCTCCCAAGGAGCATGTGTCTTGTAATTTCATGGCTACAGTCACTGTCTGCAGTGATTTTGGAACCCAAGAAATCTGTCACAGCTTCCATTTCTTCCCATTCTATCTGCCAGGAAGTGATAGAACCAGATGCCATGATATTAGTGTTGTTACGGATTAGTAACAACTAGTGTTGGACAGAATATAAATCTGAACGAATGGGATTCAATATGGAATAATAATCTTAAAATGGCAAAGGCGACGGCTTACAAGGAAAACCAATACAAGCTGTTTTATAGATGGCATATGGCCCCAGCTAGGATAGCGAAGATTTACCCCAATTCGAGCCCTAAATGTTGGAAATGTGACCATCAGCAGGGTACTTTCTATCACTGCTGGTGGACTTGTAATCAGGCACAAAAATTCTGGAGGATGATATGGATGTGGATTAGAGAAATAATAAAAGAAAATTTTGATTTCGAACCAAAAGCCTTTCTCCTGGGAATTTTGAAAATTGAATATGCAAAAAAGAAAAAGTACTTAATTATACATATTCTGACAGCCGCTAGAATTTCCTTTGCCCAGTATTGGAAAGAAAAACAAATACCACCTCAAGAACATGTTATTGGGAAAATACTGGAGAGCGCCGAAATGAACAAATTGACTTCAGAAATTAATGACAGAGAAGATTCGGAATTTTATAGCGTGTGGGACATGTGGTACAAATGGATGGGGAAAAGAAATAAAGAAGGAAATAGAGTATAGAGATTAAGTATTAATTAATCAACAAAATCCATGGAGAAATTAACAGTATTACATTTAGTCTTAGAGATTTGAGCACTATTATCTTTAAACGTTTTGAAATTAAATTTAGCTTTAAGAAACAATATCAAATAAAAGACAAGTAATAATGCATGTAGATGTATATATGTATATATTTGCACCAATGAACCGAAAATGTATTGAATGTATCACTATATGTTATAATTAAAATCAAATTTAAAAAAAAGATATTAGTGTTCTTGTTATTTTTAATTGTAGGACCTCTCAAATGTTTGGTGGTCTGTTTTCAATACATTTTCAGCTCCTTGACAGATCTATGCATGCTCTTTTCAGTGAAGAACATCTTATAAAAGGCAGTGGTGAAATCCAAATTTTTTTACTACCGGTTCTCTGGGCGTGGCTTGGTGGGCATGGTGTGGCTTGGTGGGCGTGGCAGGGAAGGATACTGCAAAATCTCCATTCCCTCCCCACTCCTGGGGGAAGGATATTGCAAAATCTCCATTCTCACTCTGGGGCCAGCCAGAGGTGGTATTTGCCGGTTCTCCGAACTACTCAAAATTTCCGCTACCGGTTCTCCAGAACCTGTCAGAACCTGCTGGATTTCACCCCTGATAAAAGAACTTCGCAATATTAAGTTTATTTTTACTCCATCTTCTGATACATTCTACCTGCTGCTTCAGAACTTCAATACATTTTTTTTCTAATACATGTGTTTTTGTGCCCACGCATCTGTTTGCACAGCATTGTCAAATCAATGTGCATCACTTTACTTTTCTTTACGCTGCTTCATTTGTCATTTTTGTGGCCACTCGTGCATGTTTAGAAAAAAATCCTTTTGGAGCAGATCACAAATCTCTTGAAGAATGAGGAAATCTCATCAGCTACTAATTTAAACGTTCTGCCATCCATTCATCGCTTCATGATCTGAACTTTGAACTCAGCCACTCCTGCACCAATAGTGAACAGACGTTATTATGGTACTGATGCCCAGTGGAGCATTTTAATATGTAAAAGAATTAAAGCAACAGGTTTACGTTCAGAGAGCACAGACGTAAAATATCTTTTTATTTTCCACAAGATCCGTCTTCAGATCCTCTTGTGCCATCTAGTGGATTTAAGGCTTTATTACATTTCCACCCTCTGGACCATTCCTGACATTCTATGAAGAGTTAGAAAATCCACTTTTCTCATTCTTTCTTCGAAGTCTTCCGTTCCAAAAGGCTATGCTCAACTGATTTGACCCCTCCAAAAAATAGAATTTAGGAACACCCACACAGTATATCTTTAATTTTGTAAATATAACACATATGGAAATGCTGGAGCGATGATGATCCGATAGGGTGCCCACTGAAATAACTTCCAAATGGCCACCATGCTAGTTTTGCTCTGCTATGAACTATGGCACCTTAAGGACTAATATCATGGGACTATGGAAGGGGTGGGTTCTAAAATTTTTTACTACCAGTTCTGTGGGTGTGGCTTATTTTGTGGGCGTGGCTTGATGGTCATGTGACAATTATTTAGGATTTAACAGAGGTTCTAGTCTACCAGGCTTTTAACTGCTTGCAGAGCTGTACCGATCTACCCAGTCGTATTTTCTGCAATCGAGTTTGGAGCAGTTTACCTTAAGTTTGTATCTGTTGTTTGCCCGTGTAATATGCGGTTGAAGCTGAAGTAGTCATTGACAGGTAGGACGTTGTAGCAGACAATTTTGTGTACTACGCTTAGGTCAGACCATAGTCAGCGTAGTTCTAAGTTGTCTAAGCCCAAAATTTCAAGCCTGGTGGCATAAGGTATTCTCTTCTGAGCAAAGGAGTGGAGTACTCTTCTCATGAAATACCTCTGGACTCGCTCAATTGTATTAATATCCGATATATAGTGTGGATTCCAGGCAGACGGGCTATATTTGAGAATTGGTCTGGTAAAGGTTTTGTATGCCTTAGTTAACAATTCGATGTTACCGGAGAAGAAGCTTCGCAAAATTAGCTTAACAACTCTTAATGCCTTTTTGGCAATGATGTTACAGTGAGCTCTGGGGTTTAGATCATTTGAGATGAGTACTCCTAGGTCCTTGATTGAGTGAGGGTCATCTAGGAGGTTGTATCGCCCAGCTTGTATTTAATGTTCTGATTTTTTTTGCCAATGTGTAAGACAGAGCATTTGTTGGTTGAGATTTGAAGTTGCCAATTGTTTTACGTCATCAGCGAAGAGGACGCAGTTGCTTATAATATGAT